TGAGTGCGTCCGATCTGAGATTCGATATTCGACGGATAAAAATTCAGCCCATTGTCGGATTGATCAGTTACAATACGTCAAATCTAAGAATTGCTTGAAAATTACCATTTATACCAAAACAAACTTCGAGAATGTAAAAAAGGTTAATTTATGTATCGATTGTGAGAGCTAAATGTTGAAAATAAAAAGTCATGTGCCATGGTTAACTTTCGCTTTAATGTAATATATTAGTCAATTCGAGAATAGCCTGAATTAATGTCGGACTCCAGACTGAATGCTCACTTATATAATAGAATATATTATATTTGATTTTAGATGGTATCGTGCACCGGAACTTCTTTATGGTTCACGTAGTTATGATGAAGGTGTTGATCTATGGTATGAAGAAGGTCTTTTTTTTTTTAAACTTCTACATATCAATTGATGTTTTTTTTTCTGTAATCTATTAAGGGCTGTTGGATGTATATTTGGCGAATTAATTAATCGTAGTCCATTATTTCCAGTACATAATTTTATGAAAAATATTTGTTTTTTTTTATTACTTTTACGAAATGATTATTATTTTTTAGGGTGAAAGTGATATCCATCAACTATGTTGTGTTTGTAAACTTCTTGGAACTCCAACTGAAGCTCAATGGCCGGTAAAAAAAATAGATGAATAACGAAATTCTTTTGATTTATTTACTTTTTTTGTTAATTAAAAAAAAAAAAAAACAGGAAATGAAAAAATTACCTGATTATGGAAAAATTAGCTTTGATGATTTCGAAGGAATGAAATTTGAAGATATTGTACCAGAAGCATGTGCAGATGCAATTGATTTATTAAAAAAATTTCTTGTTTATCCATCTAAACAGCGTATTGGTGCTCAACAGGTATTCGAACTCTTATTATTATTTGTTTTATTTTATTTTTTGATTTTTTAAAAGGCTTTATTACATTATTATTTTTATACATCACCATTACCATGTCATCATACTGACTTACCAAGACCGGCTAGACGAAAAAATCGACATGTTTATGAATTTGATGTTAAACGAAGTATAGCAGATAGTATTATTGATCACGAATCAATTTTATCAACGTAATAGAAACAAATTTTTTTTGTTTTTTTTGTCATTGTCAAATGAATATGTAAAAAATAATTGTTGAATAAATTTTTATTGATGTTATTTTATTTGTTGAAAAGAATCAATACAATAAAAATTTGAAATATTTTTTCTTCGATTACTTTGAATGAGCTGAGATATTTCGTTTAATGATAGAAGTTTTATTCAAAGTTTTTGCTATTTTTTCATATGAATTATGTAAACAGATACTGTTATTAAGTGCTTTTATGGATCTCACACTAAAGGAATTTTGCCTGTTGTATTTTTCAGTTGTTATTGAAAGAGAATAAAAAAAAAAAAAGACATCAAAACAAACTTCATAAATGATATTATCGTGATATACATAGAGAAAAATTTTCAAGGTTAGTTAGTTTTTAAAAGAATCAGTTCATTTGAACCAACCGAAGCGAAGATATTTCCATTTTTTTTTATGGCACTGTTGTCGATAGCTTACACAGTATAACAATAATTTTGAATCTTAACTTGCACAAGTCATAGTCGATAGTGTTTGTACAAGAAATTCAATTAATAAAGGCAAGCGAAATTTATTAACAGTTGCAAAAAAAAAATTATGCAACTTTTTTGTTTTTGCTTTTATCGATATTCAATATCGTTAATAGTAGTGAAAAAATGCATTATTTTTCTTCTTATTCACATGTTTGATAGTACAAAAAAACCCTTTATTATTATGATCTTTTTTGTCTTCAGATGAAATCGTAAGATTTTGTCATATGATAATATATATGCATTCGTGTCTTTTATTATTGTTGTTTTTGCGTTGGTTAATCCAGAGTCATAAACACTTTCTATTCATTAGTTTTAGGAAGTTTTTTTTCTTCCATCATGTTATCGATTTGAAATTAGGCAGATTCAGAGTTATACATATATCGTGAATTTCCTTCGTTAAAGACGTAATTTTACAAAATAAAAATACGTATATCATTGGACTTTGAAATGTTTTCTAACTAATTTTTATGTAACGAATGTATACTGACTCAATCTAGATACCGGAAATTTCTGAAAACACATGTGAACGTGATTGTCGCTCTTCTCTTTTCAATGCTTTCACATCTATTCATAAAACACCGAAACCAATTACTTTCATCATAAAATGTATGTAAACACACTTAAAAAGACAACTTTTGTATCTGGAAAATATCCAAAACATTTTCTTACAATAATTTTAACATACAACACGCATATAAAAATGTTATTTTTATCTATAAAATATTGCGGAAAAATATTTTAGCACGTTGTCGATATATTGGATGCTACTTATTGAAGCATCTGCATGCACTTTTTATAATAAAAGCAACTGTTTTTGATGTTTTGTGAATAAGTGTGAAAATGCTCAAATGGAAACCGCAATTATAATGCTTAAAAGTGTTTTCAAAAATTCTTTTATATTTGGGTAGTGCTATAATTCAAAAAAAGGGCAAAGCTTTTCATTGCTTGCATTTCTTTTTATAAATAATATAAGTTCAAATAGTATGTTTGAAAATAAAATAGAGCATTTTGCAAAGAGCTCTTCAGCTATAAAAGCTCTACACAATGTGCTTTTTTTCTTTTTCCAAAATGTTAAGTTTACTCATTTTTAGTCATGTGCATGAATATGAATATAGAAATGTGAAGTTCAGAAAGTAATTCTAATGGTTAAAAAATCTTCTTGAGATGATAATAAATTAAAAAAGTCTCGTTCAGGCTCATGAGCAGATTGTAAGAAAACTAGTTTTGAAGAGAAAATTTTTTCGATTATCATCCTACTGAGAATTTTACTATAGATATAGTTCCTAATGTGAATTCTATCCTAAAATTTTTGAACTTTTCATTTATATTGTGAGATAGTTCTTTGTTAATTATGCTTTAATCAGCTAATTAAGTATTAATTAAATATGAACTAGAGAAGTTAAGATTTTTACATACATTCATGTGGAGAAGAACTTATTTGTAAAATAATCATATTGAATTATTGCTGATTTTATCCCTGTATAAAAAGTTTGAATTTTATAATTTTTCTGCACGAAAATCTCATTGATTTACAACAATTGAAAATACGAACATTTTTTTTTTTTTATTTATTTTCTTTTTTTAATTGAGTAACTTTGATAAAGTAGAACATGTCGTGATATCTCATTAGCAATAATTAGATGAATTATCTAATGAAATTATTTTCCTATCAAAGTAAATGCTTGAATATATGTAAGATATATGGTAAATGAAAGAAAAATGCAATTATTTTATAGGAATAGTTTTTCTTTTTTGTTCATGTTTATTTCATCTTTCAATTTTTGTAGCTTTTTATTCCGTAGGATACTGGATCTTTTTCTGAGCGTCTCAAAAATGACTTACCTTTAAGATTGATAGAACTCGACTAGTAGAGCTAAAGTTGTCATACGAAAAAATTTCAGCTCAACCAGTTGAAGCGTCTGGAAGAAAAGCTTCAATGTTTCTGTTCGAAAATTGATTTTGGATTCCAAAATGTACTCAATAGATAGACGCTACTTCAGACTATACAACGACTACAAAAATTGAAAGATGAAATAAACATGAACAAAAAAGAAAAA